TTTTCAGGTCATCACCATCACCATTAGTAAAAGCAAGGAAATGGGTACTGAGAACGTGGTACTGCGATCACTTACTATCGGCTTTGCTCTAACTGTGTTGTGACTAATAAATTTGTACGCGTTTGTATGTATATTTCTAACAGAGGCATGCAGCTGGGGACGAGGGACGAAAGAGGGATGAAGTAGCTGACCGCTTCAAATTAGAGGGTACGAAAAAATCATTTTGTTGAAGGGAAATGTGAGAAATTTGGGTCAAATCTCATCAAAATTGGCAGGAATTTACTGCTAGACTAAGTTATGAGGCGAAAAACCCATCAAATTTAACTCTGAAATTGCTATAATTAAGCAAAAAAAGGTACTGTGTTGTGGGTGGGGGCCTCCCTCACTCCTTCCTCTTTCTCTCACTGTCGGAAGCGAAGTATGCCACTGTTTCTCTACCATATGTTGCTAGTTTGTAATTTGTCATATGTAGCAGTAGTAGTATTATGTTTGTATAATTAGTGAAGCATGCCTTCTAATACACAGTATTACGATAGGGCAGGGTTGCATTCTTCCGGTGACTGATTGATGATGGTTTGATAATGTTGTGACGGGTGCTGCTATTGTTTTGATGCTTGAAGGATAAAATGATAATCCGTGAAAATTTCGGTTTTGTTGTTTAATTCGTCCATGCGACAGTATTATTATAATTTTTTTCTATCATTTTACGTATTAGTTGATGTTTCATCCTAATCCACATTAGCATTGATCCGGGCACCTGGTTATTGGTCCACGAGAACTGCATCACCTTGCTTTAAGCCGAATCTTGCAACCAGGTTGACCTAGCAACCAGCCTAAATGGCGAAGGCGCGATAGATTATAGCATGAAGGGGACAGTATGAGAGAAGAAAGAGATAAGAGTGAGATAAGACGTTCCGGTCCATTAAGTTATATACATTTCAACTCAACATTGCAATAGGACCTCATCAGTATGATAGCTAGTGATATTTTGTTTCGTACAAATCTTGATAAACAGCCATAAGTCAGAGTCGAAATCCCTTCTGTAAAGTAACTCTGTTTGAGAAACGGAGACACCCAAAAAATAGCTCAAGTGGCAACATTCGCTGAGAACAATCACTTGATATCAAGGCTCTCGATGGTTTCGTTTTCTAAAAATTGTGTAGATGCAAAATCTCATGGGGGGGGGGGGTTGACTCTCGAACATATGCCGGTACCAGTTTACCGTTGAAAACACTGCTATGCTGATGGGGAGTCGAACTCTAGACTTTCAATGCGAGAGCAGTGTTTTGCTTATTATCTTACCATGCCCATCGACGAACACGGCCACAACCTTCAAATAGTTTCTCGAAAAAACTTCTAGAGGCCGTACATGTTACCTGAGGACATGGGAAAGTTGAATTTAAATTTACGAGGTCGCACGCAGGCAGGGAACACAGTACTAAAATTTCAGCCGCCTAGCTTTTATGGTTCCCGAGCTGAAAGTTTTGGGACAAAATGCACTCGGACACACACACACATATATATATATATATATGTATATGTGTACATATTTAAAGCATACTGTCATGGGTTGTATGACAGTATGCTTTAAATATGTACATATATATATATATTGTTATGTATATATGTAACCCATGACAGTATGCTTTTTGTGCTTCTGTTGCACAGCGAAAAACATAAAAAAGGTGAATAGGAGATTTATAGAGGTTTCGAATTCGTGATGTAAAGATATCGCGAAATACGTTGAAAGATGTGACACCACTTTCCACAGGTGTGTTAGTGGACTTGAAATATTCTGTTACATAGTGCTTCTTTCTCGTTATTTGGGGTAGATTTGCCGCTTTTTTTGGTGGTAAAACTGGATGTCAAGAAATGAAATTTCAGACAGAAATGTCGGGATGTTTGGACCAGTTTAACTGTAATTGTGCTGTAGATTGGGATTCAAAACGAAATGCTATTGCTTCTTGCGTTTCTTCAGCAATGGTAAAAAAAATTTTTTTTTTTTTGTGAATAAAAATAGAGGTGAAATTATATACTTTGAGCAGCGCTTCATCACCTGATAGTTGTTAAGCAGGCTCCTGGAAATCCTAAAAGTGAATGTATTTTTTTTTCAGTTTTTCATGGGTTGGTGGTTAATGATCGATACGGCAGCTATTTATAGTCCAGTTGGGCAGTGGAATAATTTCTACATCATTGTTACAGTATGCGGCACAATTGCAATGTTTATGTTAGTATCGAGTTTATTTTTGCGTATTTCTTAGCGTTCTCATAAAAAGCGTTTCCTCATAATTGGCATATAATGATTGTCCGTATCGTGGGTTAACTTCCTCATATTTCTCTCTTCTCTTTGCTTCCTTGGGTTTATTTAGCTAAAAAAGTGACGAATCAGTTCAAAAGTTTTTATAGAACGGAAAATTAACAGTAGGGGCATGAAGAAGATAATTGATTGAAAAATTTATGAAAGAATAAGAGCTGTCACTCTTAAGGAAAATAAAACTAAAAAATGTTTCGATTCATTCAGTCGTATACATTTCTTGCCAGCAACTACAGCTCGTCAGTACGGCAGCTGTGGTGTTTAATTGATAGATGAGATATGGGAGGGGGAGAGGGAAAAAATAAAAAATAAAATATGTGGGAGGAATATAACGAAAAGAACTGAAAAAAAGCAGTTCTGTGTGGACGAGAAATTTTTAATATTTTTTTACCGCATCCATTTTTATGCGT